CTCAGCGTCATATGTACCTGGGACCTCATTCTTAAGAGTCTCATAATACTGTGTCACATAGCTGAGTATAGTTAACTGATCAGGAACAGAAGTAGATGCCATTTCTTTTGCTGATATCTGTGGTAGGATGCCAAGATRTCCTTCAGCTGCCTCAAAAGCCTGTAGAAAAAAGGATGTGATACTAAATTAATATATGACATGAAAATATGTGATGATCAATACTAAATTGACTTTTCTCACCAGTTGGTTATTTTTCTCCACATCGTTTTGATCAAGAGAAGCAAAGTCACTGAAACAATCACATAAATAAATGATAACGAAGGGCGAAAATATTCATTACAAAAAATATATTATCATATATATATATATATATACATATATATAGTGACATCAACTTTATGATCACAGCTGTATATGAGATATCTTGGTTTATCACTCAGTGTGATAAAGCTGTGAATAAAAACCATATCAGTGAAGTGACACGATATCACTTCACGGTGAACTGGAAACTGTAAGTTTTGTCATTTTATTGACCCTAAATATGACAAGAGCATGATATCTTATTTATTCACTTGTTTTCCATATAATATTACTCACTAACTAGCAAACTCGCTGGTTCGCGATGATATGATATGGAAACTGRTGAATAAAAAACTGGTGATAATCTCTATTGATTTCCAAATTATGTGAGACATATTATTTGACATGTAATTAATAACGGCAATGGTGTAGTTAAAGATGGTCAATTGCTTGAATCTTTTAGCACACATAAACTACTTACATTAAATCTGGTCTAAAGTGATGTATAATGGCACARAAAGCCATTCCATCTTTCCAAGATGTTGACATGTCTTTTATTTTGACATTTTTGTATCCTTTGGTTTGTTCTTGACACCAYTTTAATACTATATTAAGATTAACTATTAAGGTAATAAAAAGAAAATCGAAAATTAACACATAACAAAATTGACCTGCAACTATAGAATCAAAAGTTAATATACATGTATACTTTGATATCATTATTAATCTCATCAAATGCAGCAGGCCTAAATAAATTAGGGTTTGAAAAAGTAGAAGATCATTGTAGTTAATCTTGCTCAGTTATTTGAGCATTCTCCTATATCTGACCCTTAATAAGAATCCTGCACATGTGAATCATTTTTCCATAACATTTATTTGTGTATAAATTAACATAACTAACTTTTAAAAAAAAGTTTTTTAAGCTCTTAATTAATATGATATAACGTAACCATACAAGCATGTGTATGTGTGTGTAAGACAGGGAGCCCAGTTACAATCCATACAACCATGTGCATACATGCGTAAGACAGGAAGCCCTTTGACTAAGTAACTACCTTCAGGTTCTGGTGGTTCAATAGATGCAGTTATATCCATTGGTTCTGGTCCATCCACATCATCAATAGGTCCATCATGGCAATCATATAAATGCTTCACCTGTGACGTCTTCACCACATTTTTGGCATAATTTGTGTAACGACTGTCTGGATTGATACCATAATTGTCAAAATTCTTGTTAAGATTTTCTGGAGTTGTTTGTGGAAGGATTCTGTAGATGTTTTCCCGTTCTGCGATGATATCCAGTGGTTTTTTACCCTGGCCAAAACCTTTCATGGCCCAGGCGGCATCAAAACATCCCAAAAATCCTCGTGCACAACCAGATCCTGTCGGCCAAAATGGCTAAAGAAACAGAGGGGATATCTCTTATAAAACAATATTCAATATTTAATATTAAACCCTAAAATAAATTCTTGCAGGGCTGTCAACCCCTGAGATATTCAAATCTGGAGAATTGATAGGGAAGGGACATGACATCACAGCGCATCAAAAAGCGYGMGAAGACATCTTTCGCTTTTGATGTGATTGGTTTATTTCTGACCAATCAGATTATCGCTTATTACAATGGCCTGCTTGCAAGAACAGTTTATGAGGAACATTTTGTTTTTGTTAGCGATGTAAAATAACACAAACAACATAAAATAATTGGAATTTTATGGTTGTGAAAGTCGAGTCTCACAAGAAATGGTCATGCAGCTTCAGGGATTATCCAGGAGATTTGAGACTCTAATCTGGAGACCGGGAGATACGGGAGACCGGGCATGGATAACTCACAGATTGAATTGGAATTTATTGTTAGGTTTTTAAGAGGAGGAGAACTAGAGAACCTACGGAAAACATTTAAAATCAAGTGAGACCTAACAAACACTGCTCACATGATACTGAATTAAGAAATCTAATTCAAGATCCCAGATATGAGAGGATAGTGTACTGCTGATAAATATATAYGTTACTTACTTCTAACAAGCTATCTCCAACAACGAAAGCTAAAAGTTTCTTCCCTTTTCTTTCATAAATTTTCACTGAATTTTCGGCAGCAAACAGGGAAGTAAAATCAAACATTGCCACATCTTCCTTTCCTTGATGATTCAAAGCAAAGTCCAGGTGAGGCATTTGAAATTTGGTGGAAAATTCTGCAGCCTCTCTTGCATAGGTGAGAAGTTTATGGTGATTCACATTCTTGGGATGAAGAAGGTCATAAGCATCTGAAATGTCCTTAAGAGAAAAAAATAGAATATGAATGATCAAGCTAGTAATAAAAAGGATGCTAACAAGACAAAAAACCTTGTCGCATCATGGATTGATGTCATAGAAAATGTTATAGTCACAAAATTAATATGCCAAAAGGAAAAATTGATCCAAGTTGATTTGGTCTAGTTATAAAATACAAGGTCTATCTTCAGGTCATGTGAGCATTTTCTATCATTAGCCATGAGCCATGCTGAATGGGCCAGGCTATGTCCAGGAATACAAGGGCATGGGAGAATAACATATTTACCCAATACATAGTTGTAAAGGTCAATTTTAATTTATTATTGTTCCTGCCTAACAAAGAGGCCACACCATGGCCAAGTGATCTTGCAATACCTACCTCTATTCTTAGTATTTTTTAGTGTGGTTTGATTATAATTAACAAACAAATGTGGATAAAAATGCCCTAAAATACCTTTTTTATGACTCCTTTAGCTAGCAGACTTTGTTTCTTTGCACACATCACAAAGTAATGAGTCTCATCCTTGTAGTAAACAATATTTTCTAATTCAATTCCTGTCATTTCTTTTAAATCTTGAAAGAACCCTTGGTTAAAAATGAATGCAACTCCACTAATCTCTTCAACTTGGGCTTCTTCCTTGGAGTTTCTGTTTACAAAATTAGCAGTGATGCCAATGGCAAGTTTCCCACGGAATTCCTTTCCTTTGAATTTAAGAGCTTGTCGTCTGCCATCGGCTCCAACAATAATGTCAAATTCATATTTGTTTATGGGACTTGAAGGTGGATCTACAGTTGCTTTCCAGCCATGACCTGCCAAAAGAGATGCAAAAAACTGAATCCATGGCCATTTATTCATGTGTCACTAATTAAGGTAAAATAATAAAACATTCTTACCATTTTTGGGTTTAAGAAGTGACTCAAATGAGACCTTATTGTAAACCTGAACTCCAAATATCAGGCACACCTTAAGAAGTATTAATTGTAGTCTTTTAATACCTAAAGAGAAAGAAAAAACTGTCAATGAATTGGCTAATATATTCCATGGTTGAATTTATTGAATAATGATTGAGCATGCAATAATGATGATGGTTGTCCAAAATAATCATGATGTTAGTAAAATAAAGGTTAGAAAAAACAGTCATTATCATATTATTATCAATCCTTAGCCACGTTGCCCTCACATGAACYATGCATGCAGCTATAGCTAGCATCCTTTTCCAGCATCCTCTTTTAGGGTGTCAATGAATGTTGTTGGTTGTTCACAGCCACAATCTCCCAAAGCATATCATCACCAATAAGTATTATCCTATTTCCAGTGATATATGACTGCTAATATTTATCTAATGTTGATTTTATAATTATTTTTACTAATATGATTAAATTATCAGATTGAGTAGGTCCAGAAAACCTTATAAGCACTTTCCTTTAAAAGGGTTCATATTAATTGTATGATATATATACACTTAATTGAAGAATCGTTGTTGGGTTTAGAAAGATAGAACATAAAAGCTGAGACCAAAATGGCACATGGGAAGTGACATAATTATATTGTAATTTATTCATTTGCACCATCCATGCAGTCGGTCTAGAATGCCAAACGAGTATCAAAAACAGTGGATGAGGCCAAGGGTCGCCATCGCCAGTCACAGCATGCATCTAATTAACGCACTTCCCATGTGCAATTTTGGTCTCAGCTTCTATGTTCTATGTTTCTGAACCCGACAACAATTCTTCAATTGAGTGTATATATATATATATAGCATATTGTAATATGGTACCCTGCTGGAAGAGTCTCTTGCATGGAAGATTAAAGAAGGCTCTCCCTGCAGGGTAGCATTGTGGTTATATATCAGGAAGCATGCATTATTCATTGCCAATCATACATACTTAACAGTATATTGGTTTTATCAAGRGATCAGTATTATCATTCTAAAATATGTAAAAATTAATTAGTTACATAACACTGCTGTAAGTCATTATAATTTTACCTCTCTATCATAATGTCAAGCAAACAAAACAAAAGAGCTAACAGCAAGAAAATTGGGAAAATCTCTGTTTTTAGCAGGAACCACAAATTATTAATCAATCAAGCATAAAATCAATGATCCACACAACTTTCATTCAGGGCCATTCACAAAATACTGTATATGGCATCTAACTCATGTTATAATTTGACCTTCTTTTATTTAATTTCTTTCAAAATAAAGCCATTAAAGCTTAATATTTTATGAAATAGAGTGCGATGTCGAAAACAAAGTTAGAAGTAACTTGATATGGCARAGTTGTGAGTGCATTGAAAAAACTTTTCAATAAAATATAGAGATGACAGATTCTTTACATAAAAGACGCGTTGGATAACGTAACGTCGACTGTAATATGAAACCTAAAGTTAACATGCAGTACAAAATATTTCAAAATAATAAATACTTACTTATGTGATCTAAAGATCCGGCACAAAACTGCCCAAAGAACTTCTTAGCACCAAGATTTTTAAGATCAGTGATTAAGTAAGGCCACAAATGAAGTACATTATTTCTAGAAAAATTCTCTCGCTTTTCTAAAACCACAACTTGAGCACCAAGCAGAGCAGCTTCGATAGCAACTCTCAGTCCACAAGGACCGGCCCCAATTACTAACACTTTATTCTTTGAACAAGGCTTTCCTGTATAATCCTTGTGCTCTACTCTTTTATCCAGCTTAGTCCAAAGGGATCGAGCTTTCCAAGACGTCAATCCGTTTTTTAAAGACTGGTAAGTTGTTTTGTAGTTTTTTGGATTCATGTCCAGACTGCTACACAATTGTTTGAAGACTGTGATTGTTTCTACGAGATCGCCTGCCCGGATAAAAGAATCAAAAAGCTCAACCGGTGTTCGGATCCTCAAATCACCATTAGCATCAGTGGTATCCATAGTTCGCTTTAACAAGAATCAATACGAAAAATTTTGAAGACAAAATGTGAGGGTTGTTGTCTTTCCTACTGTCATTTTGGTTTGACAAAAGCTTYCCAGTGTCAGGCAACTCATTGTCTATAAAACCAAAGCACCATTCTTAAAATATTCTCCATTTAGTTCTCCTATGGTTCAAACGCAATAGTATCCCAAGTCGTGGCTTATCTTGAAATAAATGCAGGTTTACAAATGACTTTTGATAGAAATATGCCTCAAATATGCTAAACGAACGAATACAACAATTACAGAATGACTGGTGACGAGTACCAACACCCAATACATTAGGGGAGGGGAGGGGAGGGACAGGACTACGATTGCACAACGCTGAAAGGTTGGAATTTCCGTTTTCATTTTCAATATCCTTTATAGAAAAAAATCTCATCAAATCGAATGTCAGAAACATTTGCATTTTGAACAAATGATGCTCATTTACTTAATTGATATTACGACTGTGCGCGCAATATTTTTTCCTAATTTTGCCGGTGTAGTTTTACATTACTTTTACCTGCTAAAGTTTTTCGTAGAATCTTTTTTCTCGTCAAAACCGGAACAGGCCGTTATTCTCCTGCTCAGAACGTCAAATTTTATTAAAATGAATAGGCTTTAAAACTTAAAATATGTTTAAAATTAAGTTTAGTAGTTCGGTCCACAGGAAGCCCAATCTTGGTTTACTAACATTTTAGACCTTAATTAACACRTAGAAATAAAACTAGTTTTGTAGCAATCACCACCCAATTACACTCCATCTATTTAATGGATCTGATCTAGATAACAAAACTTCAGCAAGACTCCTAGACCGGGCTCCTAGATAGATCTTTACAAAACGATAGATCAAGTTTTCTTAAAAAGGGAGTGGTAAAAATAAAGAAAAAAATATATGACAGCATTAAATAAAAGACGACTATTTCAGATATTCAATATATATATATATATATATATACATATAAATAAGAAATCTGTGAATCAATTTTCCGTGAAACAGTGCTCAATACATCCATAGAAGTAGAGCAGAATATTGTTTTCATTCCACGATAAAAAAAAAATTATTCCCTTCTTCTGGGGCTCACGGACTTATGTGAACATATTTAATCGGTCATTGTTGTAGTGTAACGCTCAACCGTATATACTAATCCAGGCAAGACATTTAAGTATATATATCCGATAAATGTCACAATTTTTGAGATCGGGTGTGTACAGTGCTCGCACTAAACCCGTGAAACAAAACTAATTTTTAATACTAAATAGTGATAATCAAACAATAGGAAACAAAAAATTCTGTATGAATTACTACTAATTAGTACTAACAAGAGAATATGAAGTAATATTTTCTTGGTACTAAATATGTTTCACGGGTTTAGTGCGTGCACTCTCTCTCTACATATATATCTTTTTTTTTTATTTATTTAATTTATATTACTTACGCTTTTGCAATTAAAACCTCATAATCACGCCCCCTCAACCAGCAGTACGTGCAAGAGAAAATTAACGAGTTGATATTCTCTTGAAGGTACGTGAGTATYTTGTCATAATGACTGCTCGCTCGACCAATCCATTGTAGTATAGAGCGTATTCATGCGACGTCACAGCGTAAAGTTTCTATTATATTCCGAGTTGGTACACCAATGGRCCTAATACATCTAGCTTGGCATAATATTTTTCCATTTCCCATCACGTTTTTTAAGATTCTTTGTTTGAGTTGTCTCTATATTCATGTTGCTTCTTATTCACAATGATTAAACTAAGAAATGTTACGGAATGAGACGTGGTCTGAAATGGGAAAACAGGCGATTAGGTCCATGCATTCATTGCTGCCTCRTCTGGAAAACGCTCTATTGGTATGCTTGACGGAGGCTTCTGGGGAACGTGCGCAATGCAGTATGAGACATATAAGTAACAAAGGTATCACATGAAGTAGAAAGTAAAAAGACAGCCAAATCCCATGAAAATAGAAATTTCTATCAATAYATAATAACTGAGCTAGTCTTAGTGCTTGGCTATCCAGCTAATATAATACTGTACCCTGCCTTGAAACATGTGATGACCGGCTGAAATGCATGTGGTGGCTAGTTAAGTAAACTACCGACAACTTCGTTTAGTTTATTGGTTGCTTTATTCATTCATAGTTATCTGTATGGTCATCTAGGTGTCAGTGTGCTTTCAGGACAGGAATGGGAATATATATCTTATATTATCAAGGTTAGATAGATGTTTTGGAGGTAATAAGAGGTATAATGAGGTTTAGATAGGATATATGGCTCAGTTACAGATTTTATGACGCATTGTCATGGTTTGTGCTATGTTTTGCATGATAACCTTGGGGGAAAACGAGGGTTTTGCCTGAAACAGTGTGGGGAAGGATCGGAGGGTCAAAATCAGACCAACAGCAAATGATTTCTCTCTTACAACGAAGAATATACTGAATTAACGAAAAGAAATTCTCAATGGAATACGAACTGAGTTGCTTAGTTTAGAGATAAGCCTTACAAGATGATGACATGCTCAATTGTGACGTAACAGAGAAAAAGCCTTATAATCAGAGTCTCTCACCTCGACTTGTTAAATGATGTCATATATGATGTCATATATGCCGTCATCGCACAATCAGGGAGGAACATTTTGAAAAGCATGCAWGACGACAGAAACTTACAATGGGGTTGAGATGTGTAACAGCAATACATTTCTTTTGCTCCGGAATATTCAACTTCTTTCGTGACAGATTTCATTCCAATAAATCACATCGTCTTGTTTCAAAAATTTTCAAAACTAAATTAAAAAGACAGATATCCCAAATGTTTGAGTGAAATCTTATCTGCAAGTCAGGAAATTTTAGCGACAAGTTTGATATGTGAGAAAGCARTATTTGAAACCAAATTCATCATTCCAAATACTGTATTAAAACTCCTGATTTAAACTCTCTTACAATCACGTGGTTATCAATGGCCAATCGTATTCCCTTAAGAATTTCAATTCATTGTGATAAATATCGCAATACTACATTAATACTAGCTAATAATTCATATCCATGATATCATTAATCCATTGAATTTTCCGTGGGAGTTGACKTGAGAGCTTAAGCAGTAGGCTTGACCGGCTCGTTCACGTGATCTGCTCGTGGTATGAAATAAACAAATGAATGTTAGAATCAGAGAAACATTATTCTGTCCTAAGATGGGGCAAGATGGGGCACAAATATACTAATGTTTTGCTTAACGGGATGTAATTGAAGTGATGTCTGGTGYATGTTCTTAATCATCGATGAAAGAAAAATAAACCATATTTGGCTCACCTTCAGGCTTGACGATGGTGGTTCTTTTTTTACCAAAGCGTCTTATCCTTCTTGTTCTTCTCCTTCTTGTTCTTCTCCTTCTTGTTCTTCGTTTTCTTGTTCTTCGTCTTCTTCTAAATCTCCTGCGGCCCGATCTCCTCCTTCTGCGCTTTCCTCTAAACACACGTCGTCTATTGAACTTTCTAATATGWACTTTGCGCCCCTTGTACTTTAAGTGGAATCGGCCACGTCGTAATGACAGTTTTCTTGTACGTCCTTTTAATTTTAGACGGAGGGTATTGCAGCAGTTCTTGACCGTCTTCCAACGTCTACCAACCTTGACGCGAATGTAGGCACCAGGAACCTTCTTCCATTTTCCACCAAGTTTCAACCTGAAGCCTTTGCCGCGCAGCCKAATTCGGTTGAACTTCTTCTTGCCCCTACGAATGAACCATCGGCTTTTACGTCTGACGACTGGGTACCTCTTACCYTTGTAGAACACTTTCATATTAACATGATTTCTAACCCTTGTCCAAGTCTTATGGACTCTAACAACGCGACGTCCACGACGGAATCTGATTGGTCTTCGCTTTCCAAAGCATGTTGTCGTCCATTTCTTTGCTCCTTTCCAGGTAACACGTTTAAGGAATCTGAATCGCTTGTTGATACGCACTTTGATCCTGCGATAAGATCGACGGATTATCCATTTTCGATTGATACGAATTCGGAGTCTGGCCTTCCTAAATGACAAACGACGCAATACTCGATTGTATCGCACATAGAATCGTCGCTTTCGTCTTATGACACGTCTCCAGCGGCGTCTTAATCGTACTCTCATACCACAACCAATAACGCGTGGTTTTCGTCTTCTGCCTCGTATTTTTCGGGACTTTCTGCGTACACGTCGTCGTCTTCTTCTTTTTCTCAGTCTCCTTCTTCTTCTCTTTATTCTTCTTCGTCGACGACGGACCCTTCGTCTCACCTTTCGTCTTAAGCGTCGATTTCTTCTTGGCAAGCGTACAGTAGACCACTTTCTTTTTCCTAATAAGTAGCGTATTCTTCCGGTCTTTGTGATTTTAACTTTTCTTGGCTTGCCTTTCAAAGTTGTTCCGAAAAAGAAATTGCGTCCAAACCTCGTTCGTTTGACTATCCTCCACGTTCTGCCTTTCTTAAATCTAAAAAAAGCAATATAAGAATAATCCGGTTTAGAACTTCATATATCAGGAATGGTATGGCTGATTTGGGTCATATCACTAATATAAAAACCTTGAACCATATTGCACAGGAATCTTATGTCTAACTGTATATAATCATAGACAGACAATAACAATATGGATAAAGATATAGATGTTTATTAAAAATTATTAAAGCGCGCGTTGTATTTGTTTGTAATTTAATTTCCTTGCCAGAAGAAAAAAGKTGGTCAAAAGCTTCGTAAAAATAACAATAGGACGCCCATTTTAGATAAAAGAGGTCAATATATATACTGAAATTAAGATAGCTTGGTTCAGGAAAGTTGCCAGCGTGCCTGTACCTTCCATGAATTTCCCTTTGGTTTTTGACTGATTYGGTGTTTACATTCAAAAGAGAGTGCTTTCTATAAATACATACCTTAGCAATGGTCTTCGTAGCTTCGACCAAGTTTTTCCGATTCTCGTTTGGATAACACGTCTTCCAAATCTTAATCGATTGTACTTTAAGCCCTTCCTGATTCGTAATCCGCGCCTGATGAACCTGATATTTCTCCAACGCTTTCTGTATTTTATTTGCAGACCTGTGTTCTTTCCGCGGACGTTACGACGTCTACGTAGATAGCGACTAAGGCGACGCTTTGTGCGGCGCGTAACACGTCGGATACGGCGATAACGACGTACGAGACGACGGATAACACGACGTCCACCACGTCTACGACGACGAAGAACGCGACGACCTCGGCGACCACGGCGACCACGGCGACGACGAGGGCGACGACCACGACGACCTCGGCGCTTAAGACCAAGACGTACACGACGCTTACGAAGACGAAGACGACGAAGACGGAAACGTCTAATACGACGAAGGAGACCTTTACGGCGACGACGAAGGCGGCGTACGACTCGTTTACCACGACTACCTTTTCGAACGCGACGTCCACGTCGACGAACGCGACGACCACGCCGACGAAAGCGACGAACGCGACGACCACGTCGACCACGTCGGCCACGTCGACCACGTCGACGAACGCGACGACCACGTCTACGAACGCGACGACCACGACGACGAACGCGACGACCACGTCGACCACGACGACGAGGAACGCGACGACCACGAAGACTGGAGAGTAATACATGGCCCCTTCTTACGCGGAAGCGCTTTGTGACTCTTCCAAATTTAACAATAAATCCTCTCTTTGACACTCTTAATCTCCTTAGAAGTGTTCCTCTTCGTGCACTACAAGTTAAATAATAAAGTAGTTTTTAATTGAATTTTCAAATTTCTTTCAACACATTTTAGGTAATCTACTTRTGTATTTATGGTAATTAGCTCGGTTTTTACTGTGATAACTGGTTATCTCAGCACCAGCCCTTTCTGATCTATATATGGGGGAAATAAAAGATTCTGATGAAATAGTGGTATTAGAGTATAGAGGATTCAACAGCCTAAAACAAAAACAAGTACTTTTAAAAGTTCCACAGCTAGAGTGGCTAATCTGGAACTGACTTCCAATTGAAATTTAAAGGTTGATTTTTGTGGAGGGACAAAAGCTAGAGTACCTGGAGAAAACCCACGAGACACAGGAGAAACTGACCAACAAGCAACTTTATTCACATATATCATTCATCATTATCATTATCTACCAGGAAATCGGATAATAAATTTAAATAGGCGTTACAACTTTCTCCTTAAATTCTGTAAATCATATTTGAAAGATTACTCACGCAAATCTACGGGCTGCCACCACCCTCCAGCTTCTGCCAATGCGTCGGTAGATCTTCGTCGTTCTGAATCGCAAGTAGCGAGGCACCTTTTTAACAAACCTTCCCCTTCGGAATGTCTTGTAATAGAAATACCTTTTTCCGGTGTATCTTACATTTATCCAATGATGTCGACTTGTTTGGAATTTGATACCCGTGGGTAAACCTCTTACTTTACGGGATCGCTTTGATTTAAATCCTCGTCGCAACTTTCGGCGAGTACGTCTTCGTCTTCGACGGCGGAGACGACGTCTTACTTGTTTTCTTCGAAGGCGTGCCCTACGTCGATGTTTTCTTCTTCGTCTTCTGACCCTTCTAAGCTTGCGCCTGCGTCTTCGGGCTCGACGAATTCTTTTTCTTGATGAGAGACGGATCCAGTGTCTCTTTGTGTAACGACGTAGTATTCCTTTGCTGACCTTAATGGGTTGTAACTTGCGTCGATATCTCACCACCCAACGATTCTTGTGTACCACTAAACGTCTAAGCTTTCGATTAACCTTTACCCTAAAAGAAAAATAATACTAATATTATTGCGGATGTTGTTAATTATACTCGTACTCGTACTCGACTCTTACCCATACTTATACTCAAACGCATACTCATACTCACTAATCATACTCATACTCATACTCATACTCATACTCATACTCA